TCTCTCTCTCTCTCTCTCTCTCTAACATTAATTCAATGGAAAACCATACGTGAATCCATACACACATTCACTTGTGAGCCAAACAGTAGGTCTGATTATAAACGACTTGATTATAAAAACAAGAAGTTCATAAAAACATCAAACTTTATATGTATTTTGCAATTCATTTCCCCCACAAAAATAACACACAAACCATTGCTTTTCCCCGCAAAAAATGTGCTGAAAAATACATATGATTAAGATATTTAGTGAAATATTATACAAAAATATTCAGTAGTAGTTGTTATCGCATATCCGATATATTTATGATAGTTTTTTAAAATTTAATAATAATATATTTCGTAACTTTATGTGTGTTTTGCAATTAAGATATTTAGTGAAATATTATACAAAAATATTCAGTAGTAGTTGTTATCGCATATCCGATATATTTATGATAGTTTTTTAAAATTTAATAATAATATATTTCGTAACTTTACGTGTGTTTTGCAATTGGTTTTAATATTTATGTTATGTATTCTCCTTACAAAACACACAAATATTTTCAGTCATAAATTGATTGAATATATCGTATAACCGATTAAATAATAATATTTTTCAAACCAACTTTCCTCTATTCACATGCAGTTTTCCTTATGTGATGTTTTCATAATTTATTTTGTAATATATTTTTAACTAGTATTTAAATATTTGTCTTTCTCTTCGATCACACCATATGTATAATTAATGCATAATTTTGTTACTATTTTTTGGTTACCGGTTGGCATTCAATTGACTTTCAGCTCTCTCTCTCTCTCTCTCTCTCTCTCTCTCTCTCTCTCTCCTTTCTTATCATTCAAATGCATTTTCAATGTTTACAACAGAACTTCAAGTTTTGGTTTTGGTTTTTGGTTATAGCCTTGAAGTTGATGTCAAAGTTTTGTAAAAATATTGAAAAAATGCTTTGAAAAACACTATAAATAACTCGTTGAGAAAATACATAATGGTGAAGGGATTTTCACATGATAATTTTACCGGCTTTATTAGTAAACCCCCTTATAACTAGCCTTACAATATGCAGTTTTACATTGATGTTTTGTGTGAAAACCGTGAATATTCTTGTATCTCATATGATGTACAAACATATTTCACAAGCGGTTTATATAAGCGATTTGCATAACGATAGAAGTATGCGATTCACTAACATATTGGTGCAAATGACTACTGGATAGTCAGTCCTGAAGTGCCATTAAGTTAAATGCATAGCAATTGAATATAAATGCCATTGAATTAGTGGAAAATCTACACTTAATTGCTATAAAAACCTTGAAAACTGATATGAAATACATTTTGAGGGGAAAGTCTCTGTGTATCGCAAAACGCAAACAACTTTTTTTAAAATATATATTCTGTATATTTTATATAAAAACTTTTTATTTCACAAATTGTGTAAAAAAGTTTCAATGATATGCGAATATAGTTATAAAACATATGATATTTGGCATTAATTTTCACCATATATTTTATTTTCCTATTATGTATCATAAGATAAACATTTATAAACATTTCACATAAAAATAACATTAAGTTAAACATCAATAACTATTATCTGGTATTGGTCGACGGTTTTAACTAGTTAGCCTATGCCTTGTTTTAAATAGCATTTTCATAATCATGATGATTTTTCAAACTTCATAACAACATTGTTAAACAACAGGTCCTTTTTATTATATCCCTATCTAAATGTCTATATGTTTATAAATTTAATATACATAACAGTTATAACCAGCCGTTCAATGCTATTGCGAGATATACTGATGTGTTTAAAATTAATATCTGATTAAATTTAACCCTTTTTCACATTATAATCAATGGTTATTCTCTGTGTGTTATAACTTATAACCCTTTGATCCGCGAAATTAATCTCCAATTGAATAATAAATGCATTTAATTCATGTCTAATCGCAACCAATTGATTGGCAAAACTCTACAAATCATAACAAATTTCTGTCGAAACAAATATAGATATTTATAATAACTTTATAGGAAATAAACGGTCAGATTCTTGACTTATTTTAATTAACCAAACCATCAATAAATAACTAAAAACCGATCGAAACCGCACCGGACAGGCCTATAGGGCAGGCACTGAACTGTTGTATTCTGTATATATGATCTAGTTTATTTTAATAAATAATTTTTCAATAAATCAGTGATTTAAAATCACCTAATATTAATGTTATGTCACATGAATTGGTAAACAAAGAGTTTTCCATTACATGACAAAAAAACCTTTTTGGGTTTAGTTACAAACATTTTACACTTGATATATAATAGTTTTATTATTATTATTATTATTACAGTATTATTATTATTATTACTACAGTATTATTACTAATATTTAGTTAAAATTTTTCAAATGCAATACGAGCTGAAAATAGCAAAATATTTTTGTTATATACTTAATATATTTTGTTTAATATATGTTTTTTAAACACATCTGGTTATGAGTTGTTTTATAACTGTTTGGCCAAAAAAGAAAACTAAAAATAAAACTTTTGAATAGACATAAGTTATGCATTTGGCTGTCGGAGCCAAAGACCCTGATTATATGACTCGCAGACTCTGTGTTGTCAAATGTATTTTGCAATTGTAAGCAATTATTTTTCTTCAGTGCAATAAGTTTTCATCTCGAGAGAGAGAGAGAGAGAGAGAAAGAGAGAGAGAGAGAGAGAAAGAGTCAATAGACGTAACAAGATGCGTTAATTATAATTACTACATATCTATTTCTTAACACACCAGCCATTAGTTAATCACACATACAATGTATAAAATATGAACTATCACAACTTGTTAGAAACAAAAATCAAAAACTATGCAAACTAATCAAGGCTCAATTCGAAAAACACCCCACATGATCATTTTTGAATCTAGATAACATCGTGCGTCCCGTCGCGTACTTTGAGCTCCGGGTGTTTTATCGCAAATACTTGCTCTCGACTATGGAGTTGAAGTTCTGGGCAAACATTGTCCTCGTCTTCAGCGCCTATAAGATAATGAACCGATTGGTGCGGGCGATGGTCTCCGGCGACAATCACACCATTAACACCAGAAGCCTATATCTTCTCGCATACATCGTATGGTCGGTCCTATCGTTGACCGCATACCTCGTGGTGCCGATGGCCAGCTATGGCCGCGCGGCCAACGTTATGATTGTCGGCGAGTTCTTCGCCGCCTTCGGCCTACTATTAGTGTTGTGTCGCGTGTATTGTCTGAACGCGAACGACATGTTTGGCGGACCGGAGAAGGATTTGGCGAAACTTCTGTCATATCATAATCAGTCGGATGAGGAGGAAGTGATCACATTCACCAAAGTTACCATCGAGAACCATAGGCCGCAATAATAGTGATCATCTGGTGATGATATATGTTGGGAACAGTTATCAGATTCTTGTATAAAAACAAAATTATTAGTTAATACACAACAAAGTAGTAAATAATTTTGTAATGTTTATCGCGGTGTTAGTCAACCGCCAAAGTTTTAATCTGATTCCAGCGTTAGTTTGCATTCACTATCACTACTGTATATCTCTGGTGTTTGGCATCGATTCAAACAAAACATATAAAAAACATTTAGTATTTTGTTTTATTTGCCAAAATTAATAATAATTTTGTTTTTATTACTTAAAAGCATATATTGTTTTATATTTAGTTAAAACATGTCTTGTATTTTTTTAATATCCCATGTATTTGTTTTGTTATATTTAATTAACTATGTGTTCATTAAACCCTATAATGTTTTAGGCATTAATTAAATTAAATTAAATATTTTTTTATACAATAATCTCGTCGTGTTATCATTTACTTTTAGGCAAAATAACTGATTAACAAATTTAGTTCATACTATCATTAAATACATGATAAAAATTGTATGAATTGTTTGTTTTGTCCATAATTTTGTTGTCAGTAATAAAAGCCTTACTTTTATTTAATTGATAATCAAATATAGAGTAATAAAAGTAACAATAAATTGTATTTGTATTTAATTTTCTTATGGTTTTATTCAACTCCTTATTTCATCTTTTTATTATTGATAACAGAAAATACTTATTATTAATAAAAACAACTTTTTTTGTCGTTTTATCAACAAATTTAATGATATTTGCGATAAAAATATATAATATTCTTGAGATATACTGTTATAACTTATAATAATTAATTGATATCTGTTTTTGTTAGCTATAAATAAATACCAACAAACATATCGTTTGATTATATATTGAATTATATTTTTATCGGAAAGTTATCGGAAAACAAAATCATTCAAAAACAACTTTATTTTGTCGTTTAATTAAACGCTGGTCTCAGCGAAAGTTTGAGCCAAACTTTTTTTATTTGCGAAATAATAGTAGACATTATTTTTTCCATTGGTTTTTACAGATTAAAATTAATTACAATTTAGACATTTATTTATATACATGTATACTATAGCGCTCTCTCTCTCTCTCTCTCTCTCTCTCTCTCAATATGTTTAATAACAACCAGAATATAATATATGTTAAACATCTTAATTGACATCCAATGGTGTATTGAATTAATAGCCAAATGTTTTTATAACATTAATTATATTTTAGTTGTTTTTTATGCCAATATATTCGTTAGTTTTTTTTAATTAAAAGTAGACTTTAATTTGCAATTAAAATGGGTTTTGGACTAAAACCGATAGTTACTGTCACTCATTGATAGCACATCTAATTAATTACAATGCCTTCCCGTGTGTTATCATTGAAATTTATACCCCGATTAATGGCATTAATAGATAATTCTTGAGATTTATAGCCATTTGATTGAAATATAACGAGAATAAAATACATAGCCATTCAATTTGGCCTTAGGATCAGCTCATGTTTACTGATAGTAACATAAGATAATCGTCGATATCATATATACCACTATTGTTTAGATTAACACAGAATTGACAAAAACATCTATGAATTTCATATCTCATTCATTAATTGAAATTCAATTTAATCTCCAATAATATAAAGTGCTGTTTATATAGCGATTAAAAACAACTTTATTTCAATGCGATAGTAAAGTAGTGTTTCTATAATAAAATCAAAAAATATAAAATTGAATTAATTCTCGTTTAGTAATAAGTACTGTAAACGTGATAAACTATATGTGCAGACTCTGCTCTGCAGAGATTGATGATGGTATGATTCACCACACCAGACACAAATATCATCAAGTACATTATATCTGTACACTATATGAAATGTATTAAAGTATTGCATAGTATGCACTGATAAACATGTATCTAATATTAAATTCATATCGTTGTCACCAATTGCTATACACATACATATAGTTAGATATTCTGTATATTCTTTGGCCTCAAACCCCTTTATATATCAGAATTAAAAGTGTATAAAAAGATTGTAAGACTAATCCCAAGCACTTGTTTGAGTGCCGATTGGCTTTAAATCTTAATTATATTCTTAGTATTCCTTAAAGATATGCAACACTTATGTTATGAATGGTTTTCAATAGGAAATTATGGCCCACTTTATGACATTCTCTCTCTCTCTCTCTCTCTCTCTCTCTCTCTCTCTCGCTATCAGTGGATACGATATGACATAATTAAAGGACAACGATTCGCATGCAGAGAGAGNGAATCGTTGTCCTTTAATTATGTCATATCGTATCCACTGATAGAGAGAGAGAGAGAGAGAGAGAGAGAGAGTTTAAAGTAATAGGAAAACGGTTGCCAATACTCTACTGTCTGGTGGTAATTGTGTGGCACATATGCCAACAAGCAACCACCAAATCACCCTGGCACAATCCATCACTCGCTAAACGAGTGCACACAAAAAATAGTACCGCAATGTATTAATAGAATATTCAACGGCTTATTATACTATCTCTATATATAATTCTCTCACAACTCATGCCAACACACATGCAATTCCTAATGCGCTCTAAATATACTGTATATATAATAAAGGGTTAAACACTACGAGAATATACAGTATACATGTATGTATAGGAATATTTAACTACATGGAAATTAAATGGGAATATTTTTAATAAACAAGTAAATTAGGGTGAAATTAGTGGAAAGGACAGTTTACGTGATCAATAGCCACACACACATCATACGTGACTTATATGAATTAGTACGTGATAAGAAACACATAGAGAATATATGCAGTACAGTATGTTCATGTTCATTATATTGCCCTACCACTATCACTATGCTATGTAAAATTGTTGTCAACAAGTATTTCCAGTGCCAGTAATGTGGAGACAACCCCTTAAGCCAATTAATGTGCGCAAAGCTATGCCCAGCAAAACATCGCAGAGCAGCAAAACAAACTCATTATCCGCGGCTAAACTCCCACTCGTATTGGGAATACTGCGGGAATGTCGTCGGGAACGTGCAATAGGCTGGAAGGCTGGTAACTATGACAACGAGGGGAGCAAACAGTGGGAATTGGAGCCACCATAAGGTCGAGCTCAGCGATAGTGTTGTGATTTGGTGTTGGGCTGTGTTTGTGGTATAAAAGCCTATAAAGTGTTTACCATTTGTTTAGTCAGACTCTCAATACCTAAACAACCATTTCTTTAACGCATTTACTGTTTGAGTGAATAAAAACATTATAGCAATCAATCCATTGATTAATTAATTGTAGTTTTAATTGCAATTGAATTAAACGTTTAAATCATTGCAAAACATATACTAATTAGTGGCGAACCGGGCGTTGGAAAGACAACTCTCGCTAAACGTGTGCTGAAGACTATTCAACACAATTATAGCCACCGTTTTGTTTGCAAAGGATTTTACACACAAGAAGTCAGATCTGGTAAGTGATGATTGTCTCAACACATGGTGTCAACTGATCCCTAATCGCCGATTGTCTTCTCTTCGCTCCTATAGCTAGTGGTGAGCGCATCGGTTTCGATGTGATTGACGTCCAGAACCCACTTAACCGCAAACCGTTAGCCCGTATCGCGAGTCACGAAGACTGTCACCGAACTGGTCCCACGAGTGGGCAAATACTGTGTGGATTTGGATGCGTTTGAATCGTTTGCTCTGCCGTTGATGTCGTGGACTCACGAAGAGATCCGTGAACTCGAAGACTCGCACAAAGACCTAATGCTAGTGATCGACGAAATCGGCAAAATGGAGACCTTTTCCGATCAGTTTCGCAATCGCGTCAAACAGCTGTTTGAGTCCGAAGTGACCGCAAAGCCGTACCGAATGCTGGCCACAGTTCCCGCTCGACGTAATGTCGAATTGGCCGAAGAGTTGCGCCGAAAGGGCGGCAACAGTGAGATGTGTAGGAATCGCTCGAATAGCGATTCGATGGCCGATCGGGTGGTGAATATGCTCTGCGAGAATGCCATCCGTTAAGACGGTTTGGCCACTACTCCTACGGTCGGCCGCCAACTCATTCATACCCCCTGTATATGCATAGCTCTCTCCCCTTACCCTCCCTTTCCCTTTCATCAGTCTCTCCCCAAACGACTCTCTCATCCGTTTGTGGCCGACATTTGTCTGTAAATAGTATTGACTTTTCTCTCCCTTTTTTGGTTTTGATTTTTTTTTTGTTTTGCAATCTATTTGTCTATTAATTTATTATTGTTTTGCGATAAACAGTTGACAAACAAAACGTTATAAACACTAATATTTGTGTAAAACCAAGAAATCTGATGTAAATATAAGACAAAAACATTTGAGACAAACATTTTTCTCTCTTTTTTATTTAACAATTGTATAGAAAGCCGACAAATATTTGATTTAATACTTGATTACAATGTAAAGTGTATTTCCCAATCATTACAACCACAACAACAACAATATTAGCTATTAATCCGTTAAACCGATTGATAAGTGATTTTTTGTGTATTTATAAACCAAAATTAATATAAAACTGATAATCAAATCAATTGTGTATTGAATTTAAACACTTTAGACCTTTAAACACGATTTGTCAATAGTATAGGTGTTTGTGTTTAATTAACGCCTGATATTCAATGTATTTCTGTTTTTTTTTATAAAATATTTATATTTAATAATAATAATGATTATAATTATAAACAGGAGTTTATAATAACGCTAACGTTTTGTTATGGATTTATTTTATATGCATTGCAAGTGTTTATTTCCTCTCGATTAGAAGTCTATGTAAATTTACAATTAAATTATAATATTTACAAAAATAAAGTTATGATAATACTTTACATATCGATTGTAATTATTTATTTATTTATTATAAACTAAACTACAAATATTGGTTTTGTTGGCAAATAGTTTTTCCTACAAAATATTTTTAAATATCCGATTGAATAGCGAGAAAATACAGCACTAAAAACAAAGGGAAAGTTGTTTTTTAATGGTAATTTTATTCTGTGTACAGCGTATAGCCTGGTATACACTATACTGTATAGTGTATAAAGCGATGGACAGGTATTTTGGTGCCGAAAAGGCAATTAAAATTGTTTTTCATTTAAAAACAACACTTGAGAACCGGTTAGAAGTTTTGTATGGGATATAATTTACAGCGAGTTTCCAATGGGTATACTATAGTATAGTCTGTCGTCTATGATATGGTTTTCAATGCTATTCACTAATGGGATGATTGTATTGAAGGGGAAAATGCTGTGTAGTGTGAGAGTTGGACAGGTATGCCCTCAATGTTATATAATTCACACTTGTTTTGCTATTTTTTGTTTAACACTTTCTCGAGAGTGAGTGAGAGAGGGAGGACAGGGAGTGGAAGAGCCCACAGAAGTGGTGATCCGAATGAATGGCTATAAGTATGACCTCAAGAACTTTGATCCCAAGAATCCGCGTTTCAATGACACGATTATAGTACCGCTCGTCTCTAATTTCGCCAATTTATCCATCTTTCCGTTCATACCTCCGGTGTTTAATATACTGAAGCAGTTGTCCGCTGGGGTCGAGAGAGAGAGAGAGAGAGAGCCATATGGCCAGTAAAACTGGTGACCAAACTATTTCTGGTTAACATTTATTGGAAATATCATTAGAAAGTTTTGTATGGATTTAATTGGGAATACTTTGCAAGAATTTGTATACATTTCATCATTTGTATACTTTTATGGCTATAAATATATTATTTTCTTATGAAATTTATTGCAAATATTAGTGAATAATTTTCAAATATAATTATTTATTTTTCGATAAATTGTGATTAAAATTAAACAAATAGTAAAATAATACATGACTAATAAAAGTCTTCCTAAACCCAATAATCATTGAAAACAACTAAAAACCAGTGAAAAGTCTGAAAAGTTGTTATATTTGAAGATTATATTAATTTTCTATCCATTTATTCAGACATAGATTTTTGTAATTAGTATTAATTAAAAAATTTTAATCTAATCACGATTAATATAATCAATGATATAATACATACAGCATATAATATTAGCATTTTTTACTACAAATTACTTTAACATGATTAAATTTATGTTAGTTATAGTTCTATAATTTAACAACCTTGGTGGTTTTCAATTAATCCAAGAGATGAATGTAGGATTTAAGGAATGAGTGGCCAGTGATAGAGTGGTCTTCTCATCCATTGGAAAATTCTCGGACTCAAACACAAGCAGACAAATGACAAATATTTGGTCAATTAACACAAAGAATTTAATTTCATTTACCATATTCTGCACACAATTGTATGGCTTTAGTTAATACATGTCTCCAAACAATTGCTTGCATTCATTGATATAGCAATTGATGAATGACTTTATTATAGACTCGACGGGAAAGTCTTCGGACAAGTCGTTGGGTGTTATGAATGAAATAAAAAATGCGCTCAAATTATAGCCACGGCTGCCATAACTAGTGAAATCAAAGTCACTCAATACGAGTTCATTGTCTTTAGTGATGAAGACGTTATTACTTCGGAAGTCGTTATGAGAGAAGACAAGAGGAATATCAGAGAAATGTTTCCCAATATAAGAGACAATCCATTGTAACTCTGATTTCAATTCAAAATCCATTAAATCCTTGCAGTTATGCTTTACGTAAACCAATTTCTGTGCGTCTCTCCAATTGCTGTCCATTTTCTCTGCCATTGCTGTGAAATATACAGTAATCCAGTCCTCATTCCTAGCGATGGGTGCTTTCAATGAATGCAATTTTGCCAATGATTTCGCCAATTTATCCATCTTTCCGTTCATACCTCCGGTGTTTAATATACTGAAGCAGTTGTCCGCTGGGGTCGAGTCCATACAGTTGTGGTCCTAATCCGGACGCAGAGACGAGCGGTACTATAATCGTGTCATTGAAACGCGGATTCTTGGGATCAAAGTTCTTGAGGTCATACTTATAGCCATTCATTCGGATCACCACTTCTGTGGGCTCTTCCACTCCCTGTCCTCCCAAGTGTTTCTTCGTATCAATGATTTGAATTAAATATATTTTATTAGTTTTGTAATTATGTCCACTTTTGTTACTACAGAATGCATTTGTTTGATATCTCCACACATTTTCTTCAATATCTGTTGACTAATAATGATATCAATGGATAATATGTGTCCACAACTGGAATCACTTCAAGTGTTGATTAGAATTAAATATTATTAATTTCAACAATAGTTTTGAATAGTTATTAATAAAGACTGAATTCACAACAATTAAACACACTTTTCATCACATTATTATTAATTATTTCCAATTTCTAGACAAAAAAACCAAATAAAACTTTTTAAAAATTTCAAACAATAGTTAAAAAGTATTTCAAACTAAAAAACGTTCACTTGATTTCAAGTTTCCCCGCGTTTCACATCTTTTTCAAAGTCTTCCCACAAAATATCACAAATTGTGTCCAAAAATGAAGATTTTCGCGACGATTACAAACCTGTTCTCGCGTTGTGTCGCCTATTGGTTCGGAGATGTATTTCCGCAATACAGCCAACACTCGGACGCCAACGAACCCGATGTCAGCCCAACCGAAGGCATCAGATTTACTCGGGTTTACAACCACTTCAACCGCATTGTCTCCTACATCGACGACTGGCAAAAGAGACGGAAAGCACTGCTGGCCAGCCATTACGCGCGCCCGCGACAGACGCAGCCCTCCGGTGGCCAACATCTTCGGCCTAATGCCCAGCTCTACACCGGTGGCCAACGCCGGACTGACACTCCGAGTCCACCGCTCACTACCGGTCACAACAGGCCTTACCCACAGCCTAACGGACGCCAATTCAGAGCTGACTCCCCGACCAAAGGGGTCGCACAGGACAGACACGAGCGGCAGTACGAGAACTATGGGTACGACTCGCACGGGTTGTCCAGAGATCGGACAGAGTGTCGGCCGTCGGTCGTCGACCCAAAAGCTTTTGGGTCTGAGGACTGGATCCTCGACTCATACGAGTGGCGCCAGGAGTTGGAGGACTGGGAGCTCTCTTTCTGGCTGTTGGAGAGGCTGTACGAGTCGGGCGATCGTACAGACGAGTGGCGACGGCGTTGGGCCGACTGCTGGTCTCGTTATGACCGGTGGAGGACAGCGTTCGGCCTCTGGTGTCACGGTTTTGACGAGTGGAGGGCCGGAGGGCGTCGGGTGACCGATCCGTTCGGTCATCCGATGGCCCGTTAGAGCGCTGGGCAGTCGTGTGGGTGAAGAGGCGGGGAGTGTATGAGTGGTGAGTCTGGACACAGAGCCACAGGTGACCCGTCAGCGACCCTTTCATCCCTTCGGGCCTTAGGATAGACACAGAGCCGCCGGCGACCCGTCTACAGACCCATCGCAATAACCATCGTTACACTCCCCCTGTGGTGACCACAACATCGGCACCACCTCTTCATCACCTCTTCACCACACGGTTGGGGCCATCGGTGCCGACCGCCGACGACCGGCGCCTCCAAACTGGGCACGACTGCGGGCGTTAGGGTAGACACAGAGCCGGCGGCGACCCGTCTACAGACCCACCGCAACAGTTACACTCCCCCGGGGGTGACCACAACATCGGGTCACCACCTCTTCACCACACCGTACGGGCCATACGGGCCGTGAGGACCGACCGCTTTCTTCTATAAAGTTTAGAAATTAAAGGTTTTTTTGAAAATTGATTGTATTTTACATTTATTTCTTGCCATTAATTGTCATAACATTTACTTTTAATCATATATTTCTCACATTAAGTATTGTTTAAATCATAATTTAATTGAGAAATGAATACATGTTTTGCTTTCAATAAATACAAAGGAAATGTATTTTATTTTATGATTAATTTTAAAGTGAAATGTATTTTCAATTAATTGTAAATTATTATCCATTGATTACAATAATATGTGAATCAAATGTTTGCCAATTGTATGGCCGGTACTGACATCCGGGCCAATGACAGGCGTATGGCTTGACATCATTGTGGACATTCATGCGTACCGTTTATCACGTTTTTAGTTAACACCACTTATTTATTAATTGTCCAAACAATACAAATATTATATTAATTTCAAAACACAATCAATTGATGGCATTATTTTTGATGAAACGTTTTACTGTGTTTCACAGTATTGGTCGAAAAAGCGCTTCTATACTCACATCCGGGCCAATCACAGGCATAAGGCTTCAGGTTTTGATGGATATTCATGTGTCCGTTCAAAGAGATCCCTGATGTAAACCGTTTACCACATTCAGGCCAATCACACGCGTATGGCTTTTCCCCCGTATGGGTCATAGAGTGAATTCTAAGGGCATTCAATGTACCCGTGTATTGACAACCGGGCCGTTCGCACCGGTAGTCCTTGCGCTGTGACTTTGGTTTGATGTTGTGTTGGGACAGCTTATGCTTATATAACAGGTGTAATGAGTCAAACAGTTGCGGACACTTCGGGCACCGAACGGTGGGTTCTGTGTTGTGAATCGCTTGATGTTGGAGTAAAGTATAGCGGGAACTAAATCCACGGTCACAGCCCGGGTGTTGGCACCGGAAGGAGTTGTTGGCGCGTCTGGCCTTCCTATAGACGTTATACTCTGTCGGGTGGGCAGTAATCACGTGCTGATTCAGTGACTGCCGGTCCCGGTATTCGCGGCCGCAGTCGCCAATCGGACACTTCATGAGCCGTTCGTGAATCAGTTTATAGTGATTTTTCATAACATAACTTGATTTGAATCTCATATCGCAGTCCGAGTGCTCGCAGACCACAGTTCTGTCTGTATGTACTCTTTGCATGTGTTTCAACACATCCTCGTACTTCTTCCATGTCTTCTGACAACCGGTTTGTCGGCAATGGTATGAATCGGTGGTCGAGTCGTAACACTCTTCGGTCAACTCTCGGCGCCGGCGCTTATAATTGACGTGATTTGGATTGTCGTGAACCTTGATGTGTATCTGCAGTGTCACCGCCGACGCACACCGATAGCCACAGTCGTCGTGCGGACACACAAACCGCTTCGGGGGTTCGATCCCCGCGTGAATCAGGTTATAGTGCTTTCGGACGGATGCCGGATATCGGAACTGTGTGTCACAGTTGGGGTCATAACAGACGTATCGCTGGCCGGAGTGGACTCGTCTCATGTGTTTGGTTAACATCTCACGGAGTTTGAAAGGCTTTTGTCTCTGACAACCGGTTTGTCGGCAATAATACAATTTAGTGGTCGAGTCGTAACACTGTTTGTCAATCGCTTTGCGCTGTTCTTCATATGATGCAAATCCGGGCATCGGTTGCGGTTGAAAACTCCTGTCGTGTACCTGAAGGTGAGTTTCTAATGAACCCATTGCTAGGCATTTGAATTGACAGTCAATGACATGACATCGAAGTACTTTGCCTAACGATATGAGTCTTAATTGTTGTCCCGAAGCACTGGTTCCAGCGCTTTGTCCACTCGTTTGGTTCACAGAGTTTACGACCAAATAAACCACTTTCTTGTCCTGTGATTGGCTTTGAGTCGCGATCGCAGTCTTCGGCGTGTTTTCAGCGGAGGGTTTACACCACAAATGTTTGACCACTTTTATGGGTTGAGTAACAGTTTGTCTCAATTGTTGTCCAGTTTTTGAATAAGTTTTTAAGACAACACATCCCTTATTCACGCCATTATCATTCAAATCGCATCTCATGTCCACTGATTTGCCACTCAATTGCTGTCCATCTGTGGCATCAGTTTCAGTGACAATACATTTATTCTTTAGGCTCTGTTTCAGCAGTTTGTGAGACTTCTCGCCGGTCGACAGACCTGTTGTCAGTTGAGTCACTGCTTGTCCTGATTGTTGTCCATCTGTGGCATCAGTTTGGGTGACAATAGATTCAGTCTTAATAGGACTGCCATCTGATCCGTACGTCTCGTCACTCAATTGATCCAATCGTAGCGACAATAGTCTGAAGTGTTGTTTGTCTTCACAATCGATAAGTGTTTCATATTTTGAG